AGTAACGTTCTACCTTCCTTACACATTTACGGCTGGCCATAAGCCTCCTTTCCCGCTTAGGTTTCATTATCAACTGGGAAAAGTCGTGCCTAACCCCCGCCATTCGAATGGAATTCCTAGGATTCCTCGTGGATTCGGGGGAGACGACGCTGAGCCTCCGGATATCCAAGATTCGTTCCATCCGTAAGGAGTTACGCAGGGCCCTCATCCGGCCCCAGCTCAACTTCCGCCAGATTGCACGACTCATCGGCCTACTGGCCTCCTCGATACAGGCAGTCTTTCCGGGCCCGCTCCACTACCGAGCGCTACAACGCCTGAAGATCGCTCACCTGAGAGCCGGTGCATCCTACGCGGACCTGGTGTCACTGGACAGCGAGACGAAGGACGAATTGCGATGGTGGATTCTCAACCTGTCCACGTGGAATGGCAAAGCCATCTTCGTCTCAATGCCAGAATTCACAATCGACTCAGATGCGAGTCTCCACGGCTGGGGGGCCCACTGCGAGGGAGTTTCAACAAGAGGCCGTTGGTCGGAATCCGAATCCCGGCTGCACATCAACGCGCTGGAACTCCTGGCAGGCTCCTTCGCCATCCGCAGTTTTGCCAGGGACCGAGCCCTAACATGCATTCGGCTCTGCATGGACAACGTCTCGACGGTGAGATATGTCAACCACCTGGGCGGTACACAGTCGGCAGCCTTGGCCAGATTGGTGAAAGACTTTTGGGAATTTTGCCTGGAACAGAACCTGATGGTCTACGTGGAATACTTACCTGGCCTGTACAACGTTATGGCGGACTGGGGATCACAGTATCTTTTAGACACCAGCGACTGAAGATTGGCCAAGGAGGTGTTCTCCAGTATATTGTCTCTTTGGGGACCATTTACCATCGACCTCTTCACTTCCCGGCTCAACGCCCAACTGTCATGCTTCTTCAGCTGGAGGCCAGATCCGACGGTGGAGGCAGTGGAAGCCTTCTTGCAAGACTGGAGCAGAGGCCTCCTATATGCTTTTCCCCCGTTCTCCATGATCCCGCGCTCACTCCTGCAGACCCACAGACACCGGGCAGAGGTGGTCATGGTGACCTCCTTTTGGGAAACACAGTCGTGGTTCCCCCAAATGCTCGAGATGATGATGGACTATTCCCGACTACTGCCAGAGTACCACAACTTGCTGCGGGACCCGATGGGACGATGTCACCCCCTTCGGTTGGAAGGCTCCCTCCCACTCCTGGCATGGCGTATCTCCGGGGACCCTGGGAGATCCAAGGAGTTTCGGACACGACTAGACGACTGTTGGTGGAGGCATGGGCTCCCAGCACTAGACGGGCATATGGGTCAGCTTGGCGAGCTTGGGCTGGCTGGTGCATGGCTAGGAACGCGGATCCTGTTTCGGCCTCTGTAACCATGGTCCTGCAATTTCTGACATCCCTCTTTGAGGCTGGAAAGGCTTTAAGGACTATCAACCTTTACCGATCTGCCATCTCGGCGATTCACCAAGGCTTCGACGGATGTCCCGTGGGACAGCATCCCTTAGTGTGCCGACTCCTCAAGGGATCTCGATTCTCCTGACCACCCAGGCCTCGCTACTCCACGACCTGGGACGTCTCCATTGTGTTGGCCTTCCTCTCATCCTGGCCCACTAATTCAGGGCTCTCCTTAAAACAACTATCTGCCAAGTTGGTTTGCCTGCTCTGCCTCGTCTCATGCAAGAGGGTCTCGGATGTCAGAGCTCTGGATTTCGACGCCAGGTCATATACCCGGACGGGGTAACATTCAACATCAGCCGGTGGACTAAGACTTCTATCAAATCGGTATCCTACCCTAGTTTCCCTACTTCTCCGGCATTATGTCCAGTGGCCTGCCTACGCGAATACAAAACTCGCACCAACCCTCACCACTCCGCTACCTCTCCACAGCTATTTTTATCCTTTCATCCTCCTTTCCACCCAGTTTCTAGCACAACCTTGTCACGCTGGGTGAAGTGGCTATTGTCCCAGGCAGGCATTGATGCCACGGTCTTTGGCGCCCATTCGGTCCGGGGGGCCTCAGCCTCTTCGATGATGACTGCAGGCGCGCGTCTGGAGGATATTATGAGGACGGCCGATTGGTCAAGAGAGTCTACGTTCCGGGAGTTTTACTTTCGCCCAGCCCCACATATTTTCGCTGCGGTAGTGGACCAGCTTTAAACTTGCAATATGAGCCTCCGTGCCTTGTTATAAAATTACATGATTTTGCTATTACCTGATGAAAAGTCATAATTGTATTAAAGACACGGAGGCGAGTATTGTCCCACCCATCTTATTCTTCTACTTATTATATAAGTTATAATACTTTTCCCACCCAGGTTTAATGCACGCTACAACAAACCACATTGAATGGTTTCGTACGGTAAGTGGGGCCATGCTGCGAGAATGATGTTTATGTAACTTAATGGTAAATCACTCTTATATTGTGGGACTGTATATATGTGGGTTTTTTCTCACCCGTTTAACCTTGAAACCAGTTGCAAGTATCGACTTTAACCTGTCGGCTCCTGTTCCTTTATGTTTTCACAGCCTAACTCGACAAGATGGCAAGCAGTCATCCGACTTATGAGGACTCCCCCCGCGTTATCCGGTGGTCCTATGAATCCTCTGGTCAAGCTTCCCGGTTGTTGATGTTCTACCCTCTTCAGTTATAAGTTGTTACCGTGGGACTTTATCACAATTCTTGGTTTGGACATTTTTACCATGGTCGCATCCTCAGAAAGAGGGAAATGGAAGGGAAGTGCTGCCTATTATACTGGGACCTGAGCGGGGAGGGGCCTATGTTACTGTATGTTCATTATTTTTTTTATTCTGTTTGTATTCTTTGCTGCTATTGGTGGACAGTAAAGAAAGGGATATGCAATACCCGCCTCCGTGTCTTTAATAAAATCATGACTTTTCGTCATGTAATAGCAAAATTTCAGAGTACCAGCAATGTTTACATTTGCCTTAATATATTCAGCTAGTGTCAGCCCTATATCTGAAAACATGCCTCTTTCAACCCCCACTCCCAGCCACCCCAAAAGTGAGTGATTCATAAAGAATATTTACAAATCTTTTTGATTGTGTTGTAATTTCACTGAAGGATGTGGGGGATCAAGCTGGCGGTGCCTTTGAGGGACAGGTTCAGGTAAGTGCGGTAATGTTTTTTTTTCCCCATTTAATAACACACACACGTGTGTGTATGTGTGTGTGTGTATATATATATATATATATATATATATATATATATATTTATATATATATTTATATATATATATATATATATATATGTAGAGGAACCAATGTTACCTAAAATCTTCTCCCAAAAACCTATGATGTGTTACAGAAGAGAGAGAAATTTGCAAGATTTATTAGTCCGAACTGACCCAGAGCAAAGTTATTTGCTGGTAAAGTCAAAATTTCTTAACAAAGGATGTGTCAGATGTCTTGGATGTGTGACGTGCGGACATCTTGTCCCCACTAAATCATTCGATCATTCCCACACTAGAAAAAGTGCAACATTAAACACAGAATAAGCTGTAAATAGATCATGTGATCTATAAATTGTCCTGCCGGGGTGGATTAAATTACATTGGGAAAACCAAAACTGCGCTATGTGAAAGAATAAGGGGGCATAGATCTAGCATCATGACAGCGGCCCAAGATGGACACACAGATAAACCTGTGGCTAGACATTTTTTAGAGCATAAACATCCTCTGGCTTCCCTTAAATGCATTACGATAGACCATATTCCCATTTCAAGAAGGGCTTGAAATCGAGCCAATTTGCTACTTCAGAGAGAGACATTTTGGATATGAGAATTAAATACCATCACTCCATCAGGGCTTAATGAAAAATTGTCTTTTATGCCATTTATCTAGTAAAAGAAAATGATTTTTAGGCCACCCTGATTTCTGGATTTCATAAAAAGTTATTAAATTTTCTTATGTATTTTTTAAGTATTACTTTAATAGTCATTCTATGTTAAATTACCAAGTAGCCTGATATATACAGATTTCTCATAAAGGAGATATTTAATTCAATACTTCATTAAATACCTGATCTGTAATTTTAGATCCTAGAGATTTAAGGAACTGATTTATGATTTATGAGTGCACTAGGTTTAGCATTTGCTGACATGAGTATTTTTTTAACAATGTTAGATTTTATTTTGATGATTAGATATAGTGTACTTTCGTTACAATGTATAATTATTATAAATTCCTCCACAGAGCAATATATTTATTCCCCTGACCTCCCAGTTAAAAGAATGAGACAGACACTTCGATATCTTGTGAAACAATATATATATATATATATATATATATATATATTTTTATTCTTTATTTTTATTGTGCATGAGGTAACAAAACATCTTACATTGCCACAACAGCGTATATAAGCACAAGAAAAACACAGAGTTTTACATATATGGCATTAAAGTAGTTGCACATTTTAGGTGTAGATATAGACAGGCTATGCATACACGTCTAATTGTAGGTCACAACAGTTAACCTTTTTCAAAAAATATAAAAAACTAAACATGCAAGACGTTGTGAATAGTATGCTTGGTAGAGTAGCTGAGTGTCGAGATAGTAGGAATCAGGCTAGGGACATTAGTTTACTTTACAAGATCAGCTTAGTAGCATTGACTTGGATGATAGGTACCTGTGCTTAGGAAGGTCAGAGACTAATGATTAATTATGGTGAGCATAGTACTGCAGTGTGCAGTCAAACAAAAGTATGAGACACAGCCTAGTGTGCAATTGACAGTATGCTTTATCCACGCAGTATGTTATAACAAATAGGCATAGATATAGCATGCCTAGCAATAGTGCTGCTCACGTTATAGAGATTAAACAAGTTCTGCCATGAGAGTCCTGGTGCCAGGCCCAGCAGCCCGCAGGAGTGGGGGCAGGTAAGTTTAGAGTAGTATTCAGGCAAGGTGTCCGACGTCTGTCTAAACTTTGCTAGTGCAGCAGTGACTTACTTGGTTTGTGGTGCAGAGTAGTCATGCTGCGCCTTAATGGGTCACCAACCCTCCGCTTCACCTTGGGTCTCTTCCTGCGTCGTTGTGCCACTGTAGCTTGATGGGCAACATCTGAAATTTGGGCAGCTTCACTGCACCGTTGTCCCGCAGCGGCGATCTGCTTGGTGTGGCAGGTCCCATGCGCGCTTGTAACTTCGGCCCCCTCCATGGCTCCTTCTTCTGTGCTGCTTTGCACTGACTCTTAGACTCGCACATTATTCTGCCATTTTGGGGCCTGCTCTACCGCATTGTACGCAGTTTTCCTGGGTTCCCGGTCGGGTTGCAAAGATTGCACTCTGGGTGGGTATGTACTCGTTTGTATTGCGACTTGCGTTATGGGATCACTCAACCGCTGTGGGGTGGCCTGAGGAAATCTGCTTTCAAGCTTCTGCCAGAAATCCTCAAAAATTTTCTCCAGCTGAGTCATGACGGTAGGTGCTGTAGCTTTTAGGCTGGTGGAACACATGGCATCCGCCATTATAGGCGAGTTGTTGTGCTGCATGCTTTGTCTCATGGTGTCTCCCCGGGCTCCTGTTAGGTTAGGGTATCTATTCGGGGGAGGACCGGGATCACCCCCACCGGTCCGGGGGGGGGGGGGATAGCGGGACACCTGCTCGATATTGTCGGTGGCCCGTCAGCTCCGATATGGGAGATCGGTCACCCCTCTCACCAGAGCCAGTAGGCCGCACCTTCTGATCGGGCATTTCTCTTGTGAAATCCACTTGTTTGGTGTCTTCATGGACACCATGTTGTACCAGACCAACTAGTGAGCGATAGGTGTCGATTAATAGCTTTTATCTGCAGATATTTAGCAATATTTGCTGGTTTTTGCAGGAGCTGCAGTGTCTGAGGTCTGCTCTGTTCAGCAGTCAGGCTCCTCCCCGTGAAACAATATCTTTATGGTAGACATTGTATATATTTACACTTACTAAATGATGTGATAAGGCTGAACTTTGCTCACAATTTTAAAAAACAATGAAATTCTTTATTTTCAATTTTAAGGCATAAACTTGTCCGTACTCCCGAATGGGTTTTCACCCGTCCGCCTCTATTGTGGTTTAAAAAATGATCTTGCCCGACGGGCAGTTGCATGTTACCATACGGCAACCTTCCTATATATCCTTTTATATCAGGCTATGGCCGTTCGTATGTTTCAAACCGCACGAACGCGGGAAAAGCTCGGGTTTAAAACAACTATGTTGGCGATTCACTGTATTTCCCCTGTTTTACTACCAGCCTGTTACTATCACAGGCTACACCTTTTTATCTACACAAAGAGACCTCCCACACGGGCTCAACTCCATGTAATTAATAGTATCAATACATCCATTTCAAACACTGACCCCTATAGGTCAAACAACCAAACAACAATTTTACGTACCAAATCATATATGCTACCAACAATAAACAACACATTTATCATCACACAGTAGCTAGTCATGTTACATATGTACCCGATAATCTATTACATATACAACACAACTCACACATACAAAGAGGAGATAGAATTGTTCACTTATGCATACTACACACAAGGGATTAATCAGGGAATAAATTATGCCACTATGACTACATGACGGCATATGTTACATAAAAGTACCTTACTGCACCACATACGGTATAATTAAAGTAAATTAGTAATGTGCCATATGTCAATATTTCATACGGTCTCTATCTATTTAGGTTACAGGTACTACCGAAACCTATACGGATTCTCAGGTTTCAAAACCATACTTTCAGGTACGTACACCTGCTTACACGATATGTACATACCTTATCTCCCTCGAAATAGAAATAGTTGATAGGGGTATTACCCCTCTTTCTCTGCACTACGCTTCGGATTAGTGGTCCCGCGAGGCCAACACCCCACCTCACACATACAGGCATACACCCCTCGGGCCACTCGTGAGCTAGCCGCTTCGCATCGTATCATAGAGAGGGCCTCACCTGTCACTCCCTTTCCTATTTTGGCTATTGTCACCGAGAGGCCAACATCCTGCCACAACGTTCAGTGGCCACAAAAAAAACCCTTGCGCCAACGTATAGATAGAGCCTCTCAATCCACTTGGCAACTAGCAGGGCCTCACCAGTCACCAAAACTTTGAGCATAATGGTTTCGCCTCACAGCATAGCTAGCAAGCCAGTACTAGACCACTTGGTTCATATAATAATTTATTTTATTATTATTTAAGTATGTCTCATGAAGGTGGCGAAGAATTATCTCTTCCTAGCACACCGGCTAGAATCGAGACTCCTAGACGTAGGGGAGATGTTGCCAGTCCAGCATCAATCAGATCCTGGAAAATCCCACGCATCACCACCGAGCTAAGGAGACGACAAATCCCATACCCTGCCACGGCAAGAAAAGTGGAGTTATTCAAACTCCTCAGCACAACAACTGACAACAGGGGAAGGCCCCAGCAACACCAACTCGGGTAACATCCAGGCTATGCTGACCTCACTCATGAACTCCATGGGCCGCCCTAGGCAAAAGAAGGATTTGCATTGTCTTTATGTGTAAGGGTTGCATTGTGTGTTTTTCTGTGTGTAAGGGAAGCATGTTGTGTTTCTGTGTGTATAGGGATGCATTGTGTGTGTGTGTGTGTGTGTGTGTGCGTGGTGTGAAAGAGCTCCCTGTCCCCCTGTCCTATAGAGCTCTCCCTTCCATTCCTTAGAGATCTCCCCTGCCCCTTAGTGGTCTCTCCTTTCCCCCCCACCTCCCTTAGTGGTCTCCTTTTCTCCCCGACTTTCCATTAGTGGTCTCTCCTCTCCCCCCACCCTTCCCTAGTGGTCTATCCTCCACCCCCCTCCCTTAGCGGTCTCTCCTCACACCCCTCCCCTAGTGGTCTCTCCACCGCCCCCTCCCTCCTTTAGTGGTCTCTCCCTCCCCTACGTTCTCATCTCCCACCCCTTGTGTTCTCCTCTTATTCCCCCCCTCCCTGTGTTTTCCTCTTATTCCCCCCTCCCTGTGTTCTCCTCTTCTTCTCCCCCCTGTAATCTTCTCTTCTTCTCCCCCCTCCCTGTAATCTTCTCCCCTCCCCCTTGTAATCTTCTCCCCCCTTCCCTCCCTGTAATCGCTGCTTCTCCCCCCGTAATCTTCTCTTCTTCTCCCCCCATAATCTTCTCTTCTTCTCCCCCCCAATCTTCTCCCCCCTCCCATCAATCATCTCCCCCCCACTTCCCTCCCATCAATCATCTCCCCCCCTCCTTCCCTCCCATCAATCATCTCCCCCCTCCCTCTCTCTTATCAAATCTCCCTCCCCTCAATCCATCTCCCCATCCATCACATCCCCCCCTCCTCCCTCCCATCAATCTCCCCCCCCCCCCCCTCCCCTCCCTCCATCAATCATCTCCCTCCCTCCCATCAATCCATCTCCCCCCCCCTCCCATTAATCATCTCCCCCCCTCCACTCCCCATCAATCATCTCCCCCCACCTCCCCATCAGTATTCTCCCCAATCATCTCCACGCCCCTCCCCCATCCCAATCCTCCCCATCAAGAGCATCTCCCTCCCCTCCCTCCCCATCAATCATCTCCCCCCCCTCCTCCCATCAATCATCTCCCCACCTCCATCAATCATCTCCCCCACCCTCCCACCTCCCATCCAATCGTACTCCCTCCCTCCCCATCAATCATCTCCCCCCACTCCCTCCCCATCAATCATCTCCCCCCCCTCCCCATCAATCATCTCCCCTCCCACTCCCATCAATCATCTCCCCACTCCCATCAATCATCTCTCCCCCCTCCCCTCCCATCAGCTTCTCCTCACCTCCCCTTCCCTGCTGTAGCGTGGCCGAGCTCCTTTCCGGTCCCGCGACCCGGCTGGACTGACAGGAAGTGCACACTGAGTGTGCACTTCCTGTCAGTCCGGCCGGGTCGCGGACCGGAAAGGAGCTCGGCCACGCTACAGCAGGGCAGGGGAGGTGAGGCACTGCGGCAGCCGCCTGAGCGCTCTCCATAGGCGCTCAAAGCTGACAAAGCTAAGGAGCGGCGTGCCCTGGTTAAGCCCTTGCCAGGTACGCCGACCCCTGCATACAGGCATCATACATATGCCCCACAGGCCATCTCGAGATGCCCTAATTTACAATCAGCGCTGAACCCTAGGCCGTTCACGACACTTTCGTACAGCCCAGAACTGGCAGGGGTTTTGTTTGAGCCTTTTAAAAGACCCACCATTTACTGCATGGCACAAATCCATTAGGTTATGCGGAAATCTTCCATAAACAGAGACTTATTATAGATCTATCAGCCCCTCCCACACCTCTACTACCCCAAGTCCTCAGCTCCCTCGATCCCTCCGAGGTTTTCCCCACAATACCACTATAGATCATGCCATTACAGCCATCACCCAAGCAGGTGTCGGAGCCTGGTTAAGTAAGACAGACATAACAAATGCCTTCAAACTCCTACCAACCCACCCTACACTAGGACACTTACATGGCATCAAGTGGGCAGACAACTATTACTTTTTCTCCCGCTTATCCTTTGGGTCAAAAAGTCACACCAAAATCTTCGACACATTTGCAGAATCACTTTGCTGGTTGTTACTAAACAAATCCAGATGCCCCACTGTCATCCACTATCTAGATGACTTTCTGCTGGTCAAAGAAAACTCCTTTCCCTCCAGAAGCCTCAGAGAAGTCATTAGTCTGTTTGGCCACTTGGTGTTTCCCAGTATCCCCTAAGAAAACCGAAGGTCCAGACACCATCATTACATTTCTGGGTATACAACTTGACTCAGCCTCCATGCAAGCTAGCTTACCACAAGAGAAAATTACAAACATTCTCAACAGCATTAACCACTACATGTTGCTGGGTACTTGCAACAGCAAAGATCTTCAATCTCTCATAGGTTCCTTAAACTTTGCCATGCACATCATCCCACAAGGGCGTGCCTTCATATCTAGACTTATTTGTCTTTTCTCACATTTCAGACACGACAACCATAGACTGCCCCTGGATATGCAGGCCACAGCAGACCTGCCGATGTGGAGAGAATTCTTAACCACCTGGAATGGTAAAAGCTTATTCCTCCCAGGATTGTCTGACATGTCACCAACCATATGGTCAGACGCTGCGTCTACCACGGGTTTCGCAGCAATCTTTGAGAACGAATGGCTTTGGGGTAGGTGGCCTGAACAAGTCCATGACTTAGAAGACTTTTTTACAAGCTCAGCTCTTTTTGAGATTTACCCCATTGTAGCGGCTGCTGTGGCTTGGGGGCATTTATGGTAAGGCTTGTCAGTTCGTTGCTACTCAGACAACCAGGCCACATGTCACATCATTAACAAAGGCCGTTCATCATCCCTAACAATCATGAGATTTTTCAGGAAACTCACTTGGTTGGCAGCATGTCATAATTTCTTCTTGGTTTGCATTCATGTTCTAGGCATTAGTAACATAGCAGCTGACAGTCTGTCTCGTTTCAACTTTCAGGCTTTTCATCAAGCACTCCCATCAGCCGCTCAAGCAGCCACAGCCACCCCTCCGTTCCAACAGCTAACCATGAACTAGATCTAATTATGCAACATAGCAGGCATCTGTCCAAATTAGCACTTTCATCCAATACTCGCAAAACATACAACAGAGCCTTCACACTGTTTAAAAGATTTCTATCGGACCACAACATATCCCAGCCTCTTGTCATGACATCTATCATAGCCTTTACTTCTTTTTGCCAGCTTAAATTACACTTATC